CCCCCAAACCCCAAAACCCCAAAACCCCAGTGGATATCTGGATAATTGAAATTTAAGAATTTAGTTAATTAATTTATATTAATTGTTGGAAATTGCTGAGCATGTCTGTAAACTCATGTTTAAACAGAATGATTATGGATCTCTACATTTATGAATCCATGCTGGTAAAGGATTTCTCTGACTTCGTAAAGGCTAATGCCTCATCTTTCAAGATATATTTTCTTAAACGGATGCCTAAAATGCATTAACTGTGAAAGCCCTTGGATCAAGTGACTAAATCTTTTTGGATAATTTTGCCAGTCACAGTATTCAGGAAGCCCTCAATATCCAAGATCTAGTTCTTCTAATCTCGATGAGTCCATTCAGTCTTCTAAATTTAGAGGCTGATCAACTTCAATTTTGCAGTATTTAAAGGACAGCGATTTCTGATTTTTACAAGTAACCTTGAGGATGTTTTCCAATTGGTCTTTATCAATCTTCATTTCGTACAGTCATAAGCCATTTGTGATAAAAGGACTAGCATGCATGATTGCCTCACAAATCTCTTCAGCTTGAATCATAGGTCCGCTAAGGTTCAATTCAAGCAATGTTAATCTTGTAGGTGTTGACTTTGCTAACCAATCTCTAACGAACTGTGTCTGATTCTTGATTTTATCAATACTAAGTATCGATCACCTGGGAAGTACATTCTCTCCAATTCACCGCATAAATTCCACGTCTTCCTCTCATTCTCAATTAACCAAAACCTCATTATTCTTCGAAGCTTGCTTATTCGTTAAGCACCAGTAGGTCTTCCTAAAACTGGCCATGGTCGCTATTCCCACTGTAGAAATCACCCTCTGCTTCATCTCACTCAGATGCTGCTGCACATCCCTCAGCTGGCCCAGCTGAGGCAGCTGGGCTTCAGTAGGAGGACTTGAGGTGTTGGCCAAGTAGGACTGCAACAGGGAAATATGGGTCTCAGTGCAGAACGACTGGAATTCAGGTGTGGACTTGAGTCTGGTGAGGAGGGATTTGGCTGAGATGCTGAGAGGGAGGATAAGGGAGGGGTTTTGAGGGATGAAGGGGATTTTGGATGAGATTTTAGCGGCTTTGGAGGTGAGGAGGGATATGAGGGGTTCTAAGGTGCTGTTGTTGGACAGTTCCATTGAGATAGTGAGGCTCTTTATACAAAGTCTTACGACTTCAAGTGTCTGCGTGATTTCATCAATATTTCCAAGTTTGATTCAGTGCTGCTTATGTTGTGGCTGGCAATGATCTTCTCAAATATTAATCTTAAAATACGTGTGATGGTATTTCGGTGCATTTCCTCACTCTTCAACATTACATTTCATATTCTGCTCCATTATGATATCCAAATAATCCCACTTGAGTCTTCACCAAATAATCCAGCCAAGATACATATCCTACCTCTCATATGCTTCAACATATGTCCCAAATATTGGGGTTTTGGGGTTTTGGGGTTTTGGGGTTTTGGGG